TGTTACTAATAGCTTCTTGTTACTACTAGTAAGGCACTTGTTACTAGAAGCGATGCACTTGTTACTAGCAGCTTCTTGTTACTACTAGTAAGGCACTTGTTACTAGTAGCGAGGCCCTTTGCTCCTAGTAGCGAAATGTAGCGAACATTGCTCCTAGTAGTAAGGCCAGGAGCCCCTATACTAGCGAACATTGTTCCTAGGAGCCCTGCAAAATTGTTCGTTCATTGCGGCGATCGCCGGCATCGCGGAGTTTCCGTCCTTCATTGAAGAGCATATCTTCCAGACCAAAGAGATTGCTGCCCATTGGACTGCATAGTGAGACATGAGATTGCCCATGCTGGACTCGCTGGGGTCTCCTGATGATGGTCATGGCTGTTGGTTCTGTACCTACTTGCTGTGCTTTACTGTGCTTTGCCATCGTTTGAAGTGGAATCTGTCTCACAGATTCCCGTCCATCCCAGTAGTTGGCCGTTGTTTCATTCGTTGTCCAAGGAGGACGGCAAATATGAGTTCAAATTGTTCGACTACAAATCCAACGAGTGGACCATTGTCACCATTGATGACTACCTGCCATGCGTAGCAGGCGCATTGAAGGAGCGTGTCAGTCGTGACATTTCATGAAGCTTTCCACTGAGATCCTGCTCCGTTGACCACGCGGGCAGCCCGGCCGTGTACGTTCGACGGCGCCGCCACCCCCGCACCGTTCCAGGAGCCACAGAATGCCCTTTTGATGTATGCGAAAATGCCTTCGGGCAAGATGTGGCCAGCGCTTTTGGAGAAGGCCATTGCTAAGCTGATGGGCTCCTACCACGCACCCCGGCGAACATGGGAACCGCTGTCTCGGGCTGGAGGGGTGATCTTCGTTTGGAAACCGAAAAGCTCCGACCACGACCATCCTGGCGTTCGATCGAGATTCGAAGGAAACCCATTGAAATCGTTGGGTGACCATCCCTTCAAAGAAAATGCACGTCCGGCACGTCCGATTGACGTGACCCATCCGTGACGTGCCTCCCCCCACACCACGTCTTCGATCGCCACGGGGCGTTCGTTGCGTCAGGACATGCGGGGCGTTCCCACCACGGTCTTTACGATCATGACAGGCGAGGCCGCAGCGGAGGATGGTTTCGGAGAGTCCTCAGAGCTGGCAATCGGATCTCTTGAGTGACTGTGAAGCTGTGTAGCCTGTTGGTTTACAGGTGCATGTGCGTACGCAGTATGTGTGCTATTGTGTCGTGTTACATATATGAATCTGGATATACACATCACAACAGATGGTCTATATACAGACAGCCCCACTTCCTAAAGCAGACAGCGAGACCCACAGGTTGCACCGAGCACATTGCTCATGGACTGGGGAACAGTCCGGACCTTGACAACGAAACATGGGAAAACGGGCAGAGGAAACGGGGAGAAAAGAACAGAAAACTTGTTACTAGGAACAAGAAGCTACTAGGAGCAAAGGGCATCGCCAGTAGTAACAAGAACGCTACTAGATGCTACTAGTAACAAGGGCATCGCTACTAGGAACAAGAAGCTACTAGTAACAAGGGCATCGCTACTAGTAACAAGAACGCTACTAGGGGCTCCTGGCCATACTACTAGGAGCAAGGACGCTACTAGGGGCAAATTGCATACAAATTGCTACTAGGACTACTTGCAATGGCCCCCAACCTACTTGCGATGGCCTCCAACCTACTTGCGATGGCCTCCAACCTACTTGCGATGGCCTCCAACCTAGTATAGCAATGGCCTCCAACCTACTTGCGATG